GGCGGCATGTGCGGAAATCTGGGCAGCTTCCATGTCCTTATCTAGCAAATAAGCGAGAACTGAGCTGGTGCATCCATCACTCCTGCCCCCAAACAGAGCAAACCCCATGCAGGTGGGGGGACTTGCAGCGCTCACAACCCGCAGCTCCGGGGCTCAGTCCAGCTAATGATGAATTACGAACTGAATCTGATAGACTGTGCTGCACCACTAGACGCGGCCTCGGGAAAGAACGTGTATTCTGTATGTGTTCACAAATCGCTTGCCAACTAAGAGGTATTTATTTGTTGGGCACCACTATTGAGAGGCAGGCCTGACCCAGGAGATGGGGCTACCACTGTAGATAAGGCTGGAGGAGCCCTGGCTTTCAAGGAACTCACACGTAGCAGAGAGAAGCAGACAGCATACACCCCAATGAGCTTATAGACAAATAAGGGATCACTTGAGGCCTGACAAGCACTTTGATGAAAACTCAAGGTGCCAAACTGTACTCTGCTCAAGATTCTAAGCCCCCACTGCAGGAGGCTCTCCTTTCTTTTGTGGCCATTCGCCCATGTGGTAATTTCTTGTTTAATTTGTATTTTGACTTGTCTTTAAGCTCCACTGCTATTCATTATTTATTCATTATTTCCCTGGCACCTAGCACAGTTCTGACATATGGAGGGCTCTCAATAAATTACTTGTTGAATGAATGAATGAATGAATGAACGAACGAACAAGATAAAACCAAACACACTGACTGTTGCTCCACAAATCAAATTAAACTTTAGGCATAGAAATGTACTAGAAATTATTTACAACATGTAAATAATAATAATTATCCTTCAATGATGGGAAATGTGTAAACGTTCAAAAAATTCTATTTCTCTGATTTTTCAATTTTCCTTTACTGAGCATAAATTACTTTTATGTCAACTAAAATAATGCATTTTAAAAATCAAGTTGTAATTGCAGACATTATATCATCATTATTGTAGAAATATTATAGTTTTTACTCCAAGAATGAATGGAATAATGTAATTTATGGACTGGAAGCATTAAGTGTGTCTACAGGAGTGTGCGCCACAGCTCTGACCCCGAGGCAGCCTTTCCCAGAAGCCTCCTTTACCCCAGGACAAGGACGACCACAGCCACTACCACCAACCCCCGACCCACACGGGCCTCCCCAAGGCCCTTTCCTTCCTCCATTCCTGGGAGTCTGGATCTAGAACCATCAAACAGGAACAATGCAAGGGTTGGGGGGGCATCGCTGGATTTGATTTCCGCTGTGCTCCTTGGGGTACAAAACCAGCAGGGGGTAGGGCTATGTTGGCATTCGGGAGGGGCAAGCGAGCCCAGGACGGCTCTGAAGTAGGAATGGTGGCGAGAGGCGAGAAAACGGTTTTCTCTGTTGTCGATTGTAGTCGAGTACTGCGGATCTGGACCCTATTCAGATCTGGAATCAGACCAGCCATGTGAAACTTACATTACCTACTGCGTGACCTATGCGACGAATAATGCATACAGCTCAGGCCAGGACTGGGTGAGACCCCTGGTGTGGTTAGCTCACCACACTATTTTCAGGCAGTGTTAGCAGATCTGTCGCCGGGAAGTTATCTGACCTCTTCCTACCTCGTGCGGGTTTCTGCTGTTTTTGTTTTGGCGCAACGTAGGGAGGTTACCCTTTACTCCCTTTCGTGGAGGAGGTGGGGAAAGAGAAGAATTGACTACTCAGTGGCTAACTTTGGCTGAAGCTGTTAAGTGTCCCCTCCCAGCTCCTGACCAGAGCTGCAGAAGTCCTGGGAAAAGCACCTGGGGCTGTGGATTCGACTTGAGGAAACCCCTCCCAGCTCCCTGTTGAGCCCACCGTGGACCTCTCACAGGGATTCTCTGGGCCTGGCCCTCTGCATGCCAACGACTGGCTTGGAACCTTTTTTCCTCTTCAGGCTTTTCTTCTAGATTGCAAGGGTTTCCCTAATAGTTTCCTGCCCCAGGCCGGGGGTGCAGTACCCCGGGCTCCTGAGGTGGTTGGCCAGACCTGCCCCTGGGCCCCTGAATCGGCCACAGGGCCAGTGCCACAGCACCACAGCATCATAACCAGACCACAGGTTCTCCTTAAGTCTGTCCTGAGAACCACACTGATGTACACATCCTCATCCCTGAAAACAGGATCTGGCCCAACTAGAAACAGGCTCTTGATGTCTTTCAAACGCCACAGAGGGCTGCATGAACTGAAAGGACCAATGATGGTCACTAAAACCATCCTGCTCAACTAAGCACGGCTCTGCCATCGTCATCTTCTAAAGGCTGCGGAGCCCACGTGCTCTGAAGCTGTATCTCTTAATATGGGGACAGTACAGTGACACATCTAAAAATGGCGATAAACACAGACCCATGGTATATTTTTCAATACCCATCCTACAGGTTTACTTAGTTGTTTAAACAAGGGCTCTTAACCCAATCGAGACCTTTAAAACACAAAACTGGCACTGAGATTACAAGCAGAAAATACTGTTTATCTTTTGAGCAAGACAATGACATCCAGCCACTCAGCGGATGATGACAAGGCCAAACTCCACTCATCTCGTCGTGGGTGGCTCCTGGCACGTTACAAGACACCAGTTAATGAACCTTACCTGCTCTGCTGCCTGGGGCTGCTCCAGTGAATGTGGCTCCAAACTCAGTTCCTACCAGTGATTTTCACCTTGAGACCACAGCTAGACAATACGCTTCCTCTGCCTCAAGTTTAAAGGCATTCTAGTCTTGAGTCACCAAAGTTATCCTTGGACTCACTAGAAAAGTTTACCCATCAGCCAAACCTGTCCCCTGTAGGGAGGACTGTGTGTTCTGGAGGCAGCAACCCACGGCCTTGGTGACCAACATAGGTCAAAGTCACCAACTGCTCTGGTCTTGCTCTTGAAAGGAAGCAGAGCTTGCCACTCCAACATACGCCTCTTCAGGATACTGATTACTTTAGGGTACTTAATTTTAAAAAAGAGCAGATGGGGAAAAGTTCTGAAAACCTAGAAGTTGCTGTCAGTAAAAGGACATTTACATTTGTAAGGGAAATCTCCATTTGCAAGGGAGTTTCTCCCTCTTGGAATCAGGCCTGCCTTTACAGTCAATGGGGAAGGCTGGGACTTAATCTGCATAACGACCTTGCTCTTGTTTACTGTGCTTTTCCTGGTCACTTCCCAAGACTCGCCCTCCGCCCCAACATCTTTTGTCTTTAGCTGAAGGCGGTACTTAAGGTGATGGCTTCCACCATTTCGGTGAGTGACTCAGTATTCCCGGGTCTCTCGTGTGTATACAGGCGGTATACATACTATTAAACTTTGTTTTTCTCCTGTTAATCGGTCTCATGTTAATTTATCAGTCCAGCCAGAAGAACCTTGAAGGGCAGAGGATAATTTTTCCTCCCTGACATGTTTTAAATGGTTCCTCTCACTACAGACATCTGTGGGAGCCATCCTGCCCCAAAAGGACCAGGCTAAAAGCGTGGCTCCTGAACCCGTGCTGGTGCCCCAGAATCAGCCACAAGGAGCACAGCCCATCCAAGGAGCGGCTAGAGGATCGACTCTAAGGCAACTACAAAAATCATCAGAGTAAGGTATTAATTGTAGAATCTAACAGGTGGGTGTATGTTTTACTAGTCAATTCTTACAATGATTCTGTAGAACTATTTTCCTAATAAAATACTCAAAACAACTTAAAAACTAAATGAAGCAGAAATCCCACTTCCTAAAGCAAGAGCCTTTTCAGATCCTTTTAATCAAAAAAGGTGACGGCCCATCACTGAGACAATCAATCACCTCTGCTTTCCAGGGTGATGATAATAATGGCCCACAACTAGAACACAGAGTTCAATAATTTAGGAACAGGGCTTATCACAGAACAGGGGGTTGGGCCCACTTCAGAAAGTGGGGGCCAATGAAAGCAGAAAACCTCAGCGTGACAGCTCTTCCCCCTGCAACACCTGGCAGCGCATTAGGCAGATGGCAAGGAAGTTAAGCTTGCTACAGAGACCACAGGCTGGAGGTGGCAGGAGGGCAGTGAGCGGATTAAGGCCTGATCCTCTGTCCTCAGAGCCCCTGACCCATTTCTGTTGTCAAAGGAAACTGCTGTGGTAAGACGAGCAGAGGGGCAGAGAGGCTGTGGCCAACCTAGGCAGTTTCACTAAGTGCTCTATTTTTCTTTTTTTCAGAGGGGGCAGCCAATAGGAACTGTGAAGAGTGATAAGGGGCATCGAAGGGCACATGTGCATTAACAGGCAGCCGCGTGGTTAATATGTCAACCACACATGCTTTACTTAAGAAAATCATAAAATTCGGCCCGCCCTGAACATTCCCCAGCCTAGGTTCTCAGTAGCACAGACTCCAGCCCAAGTCCAGAGTAGCCACACCAGAGAATCCACAAACCCACAGGGGTTTCCGGAAAGATCACTTGGGGGCGATCTCGAGACCATGCACCTGGGCCCAAAGACAGTGGGTAAAGAGCATGCATGGGCCGTGACCGGAGAACGTTCCGGGACGAACCAACCGTCCCTTTCCGGGAGGAGGGGAGAGCCCAGGACATCAATGGAGTCTCGCAAAGTGAAGGTCTGGCTGTCCTGGCACAGCTGAGCCAGGAACTACGCTTTTTAGGTCAGCGGCCTGTTGGACGATGCAAACATAAACTGGAGACCTGTCTTCTTGTGCCTAAAACATCCCAGCCTTGCTATGAGACCCCCACAGGTGGGTTCCTTTGCTGCCCCACGGCAGTCAGGGGTCTTAAAACTGGTGTTTGGGGGTCTAACTGATCACCAGAGGCAGCTTGGGTTCCAGGGTCCGTTTCACCGGCCCGAGGTGCTCCCTACGTCCGCTGGGAAAGGGGGAAAGCTCGGCCGGGATCTGTGGGAGACCCGCGATGGGCGGGGACGAAAAGGGCAACAGGTGATAAGCTGCGTCCGGAGGGAAGTTCTCCGCTCGGGGTCAAGAGCAGCTTGTGCGCCCCCAGAGTCCAGCCGGTTTCCCGGTGGCACTTACGCGCTCGTGGGTCCACCGCTGGGCAGAACTGAAACTTTCTGGGGCCAAGCGGCACAGTGCGGGAGCACGGAGTGGACGGCCATGATACGCAGACCCCGCCACAGGCGGGCGCGGACTACAACTCCCGACATGCCGAGGCCCTCAACGCCCATTAGACCTGCAGGCGGATGGACGCAGACTACAACTCCCGGCATGCTCCACGGGGCCGAGGCCCACAACACCCATCAGACCTGTGGGGGATGGGCGCAGACTACAACTCCCGGCATGCTCCGCAGAGCTGAGTTTTGCTACTCCTACTGGTCCTCTCCGGCGGTGGGACTGAGGTTAACCCGTGCAATCCCGCCGGCAAGTGTGCTTACAAACAATGGGTCTGGGGTCTTGAAAGTCGCGCTGTCCATGTCTAACTTTTGAGAACTTGAAATATGGCTAGTTGAATTGTGCATGTGTTGTAAGTACAAAATACACCTGAATTTGAAAGACTTAGTACAAAAAAATATAAAATGGCTCATTAATATTTTTATATTGATTAAATGTTGAAATAATATTTTTGATATGTTGGGCTAAATAAGAAACGTTTTATATTGCTGGGCTCAATGGCTCATCTTTTGATCTCCCTCTCGTCTTAACGGATCTACTTAAAATGAGTGCTCAAAAACTGTTAATGAACTACCACCCCTTACTGCTGCCCCATGCTCAGCCCAATTTCTATTTATAAGTTATACTTTCTCTTTATCAGTTGCAAAGCTCTTTGAGGCTGGACTTAATAGAACAAAATGCATTTATTATTAATTTCTATATGCAATAATATCTACTACAGTGCGCACGTAGGGAGGATAATGACAAAATCATCACTTCATTTTCTTGATGCAAAGACTCAAGTCCCTGTGTATGCTGCAGAGCACAGTATGGCCTACTTGTGTGTGGTTAGCCGGCGGTCTTTGCCATCAGGTAGACAGAGTGGGGGTTCCAACTTGGCCACCCCCAAGCAGTGTAACTCTGGCAGGGTTACTTTTCCTCTTGGTGTCTGCTTCCTCATCAGGAAAATGAAGAAGAGTGTTCTGAGGACTGAATGAAATATGTGTGTGAAGCGCTTCTCAAATTCCTGGCACATTGTATGCACTTAATGATAACAATAACAATGATTGTTATCATATAATTCTATTAACTCAAACCAGGATGTAATAAGCAAAGCAGCCAAATAGCGATTTTAGTTTTTGCCAGATTTTCTTCTTCATGGAAGGTGAGAAGTTCAAAGTGCAAAGTACAGGCTCCCACAAGCAGGAGTCTTTGCCTCCCGCCAGACTAAAGTAGCCTCAGGCCAAGGCAGTCCAGGGCAGCATTGGGAGTCTCTGAGATGAAGATAGAGCAGCAGCATTTCCCCAAACTGACTGACCCTGGGAACCTCTGGTCATGGGGCATGTTAAGGATTTAGTGTTCCAGGAAGCACACTCTGGCACATGCAGATGGAAAACCAGAGGAGATGGAAGAGATTTCTGAGGGTATTTTGGTTCACTGGTTCTCACCTGGGGCCATCAGAATCTCCTGGGAAGGTACTTAAAAATGCAGAGGCCTGGGTGCCATCCAGACTTACTGAAACAGAACCTCCAACGAGGGCGAGCATACCTTCCTAGGTGATTCTGTCAGATGTTCCTAGTCGAAAACTTCTGATCTAATTCTTGTATTATAGATGAAGAAACTAAGGCCTATAAGTGTTAATAGGTTTGTAGAAGGAGGAACAATACAGTGGCCCAAAGACTTAAGTTTGAATCCTCACTGTGTGACTTCTGGTAAATTGCTTAACTCCTTTATGATTCACTTTCTTCATGTATAAAGGGGGCAAGAACAGCAATTTCAAAAGACATTTGTGACTCTTAAATGAGCTAGGACAAGACAAGTTCGCTAGCATGGTGCCTGATCTAAGGTTAGTACTGAACAATTTCTGGCTACTTTGTCATCATTACCATTACCAGAGTCACCACTTTGGCCATCATCATCATTATCATTGCCACAATCATCACCACCACCATCATCACTATTTTCATTATCATCACCACCATCATCATCATCACCATCACCATCATCATCACCACCATCATCATCATCATCATTGTCGCGATTTGCAGAATCATACCCAACCAGCCAGCAACACAACTGGGACTAAATCCTTGTCTTCAGACTCTTAATTCAATGCCTTTTCCACTACTTACGGCTCCAAATTCTCAAGGCAAACCTGAAGAGGCTTTAAGTATTTCATTGCCTGAGACTGTGCAAGAAAATTTTCTTTTTTCTAATTAGAAAAATAAAATTCTCCTCTCCCCCTCCCTCCACCCCCAATGGACTCCTGACACTCAGGGTAAAGGAAATCAACTACACATAAGACATGGGAAGAAATTGAAAAGGGATCCTTAGGAAAACTCTTATCTTTGCTACCAAGGGATAGACTTTAAGTAAATGGCTAGCGGGAAGGAAATTCTCAATAATACTATTATAGAATAACTGAGCCTGCCGTTTTCCAAGAGTGTCACTTTCTCATCAAGTAGTTCCAGTGGCCTGAGCAGGGGGCAGTACTACTGAAAGAAGCTGTTTGGGATAAGGTCTGATCATAATACTTGTCAAAGACTTCCTCCCGAGATGTTTTCAGGTGAGCACAGTGATGTCACACCTCTGGTGTCTCGTACCGTTGACTTAGACTGCAGTACGGCTGGGCAGTAGTGAAACCTCAGAACCTCTTTCCCACAGGCAGTGGCCATTTGTGGCCATTGATGGCTGGACACCTTCCCTAGTTTGAGAGGATTCTCCACCACATGAGTCTTGCAGGGAGACAAAGCCCACTTCTCCTACAGGAAGCCCACGCTTGCTTTCCCAGCTCGCATGGGGCCAGAGTGTGGGCATGTGGCCTTGGCTTGGTTTGTGCAGTGCATGCACCTGCCACATGCAGTGTGGGTGAAAGAAGCTGCTGCAGCCTCTGGCTTCTGGAGTGGTTGTGCCAGGGACCGCCTCCCTTTGTCTTACCTGTTTCTTCTGCTTTCCCATCAATTTTGTGAGCTGACTATTTTTTCTCTGAGTATAAACTCTTCTGTATTTTACTGCCCCCCCCCATTTTAATGTATAAGTAAACAGATTTCGTTTTTATATTTGCTGAATCATTTGCAAGGTAGTTGCAGATATCATGACATATCTCTGCCACAATCACAATGCAATCACGCCTAATATCTTTTTCATACATTTCTGCCATGGCAACCAGAGGTGATTTCTGCTGATTTAAGCTAAGAGTCCTGAGGGACATATTCTTTGTTTGGGGCAGCCAAATGATGTGGTGGAAAGATAGGTATTTAGGAGTAAGACAGACCTAAGTTGAAAACCAGGCTCACTGATCCCATGAGCTTGAGCAAGTCGTTTATCTCTCCAAGCCTTTTTTCTCGTCTGGGTAAAAGAGACAATACCCACCTTACAAAGTTGTGAAAATGTGGCATAACATGTGCAAGGCACATAGCACAGTGCCTGGCACACAGTAGGTTCTCAATAAATATTTATCATGCAAGTGACCAAATGAATAAATACACTAGATCAGTGTTTCTCAAACTTGCCTCTACATTAGAACCACCTGGGAAGCTTTTAAAAATCTTGATGCTCGGTCGCAACCCAGACCAATTAAATCAGAATCTCGGGGGTGGGACCCAGGCTTCAGTATTTTTTCAAGCTGCCCAGATTCAGAACCACATCTTGGATGTTGGAATGTGACCTTCCTGAGCCCTGATGTCCTCCTTGGTTGAAAGTAGGAAACAGAAGCCTGCAAGGTGGCCATGGGTGTGGAAATGTGTGGCCCCAGCACAGAGTAGGGCTCAGGAAAAGTCAGTTTCCAATCTCCAACACGTGTCCTTAGCTAGGTGCGATTTTCTGTGTGGGCAAGGCAAACAGTGACACCTCACAGGGTGTCCTGAGAGGGACTGGCATTCCCTGCACATCCACTGAAATTCGTGCCCTGTATTAGTCTGCTCAGGCTGCCATAACGAAGTCCCACAGATGGGGTGGCTTAAACAAAAGGAATGTATTTTCTCACAGTTCTCCAGGCTAAAAGTCTGAGATCAAGGTGTCGGCAGAGTTGGTTCCTTCTGAGACTGTGATGGGGAATCAGCTTCGTGCCTCTCTCCCAGCTTCTAGTGGTTGCTGGCAATCTTTGGTGTTCCTTGGCTTGTGGTAGTATAAATGCAATCTTCACATGGAGTTCTCCATTTGTCCGTGTCTGTGTCCGAACCAGTCACATTAGATTGGGGCCTGCCCTAGCCCAGTATGACCTCATCTTAACTAATTACATATGCAACTACCCTATTTCCAGATGAGGTCACATTCAGAGGCGCTGGGGGTTAGGACTTGAACATTCGAATTTGGTGGGGGGACGCAATTCAACCCGGAGCATGCCCTAAGCTGTAGATTTGTATCCCTTGAAGAATCTCATAGAAATGCAACCTATGCAATTGTCTTCTAATAAACTTTGTCTTTTAATCAAGGAAAGGGAGCTTAGAGATGACTGAGTTCAAACCTCTGTAGTTAAGTTGAAAAAATAAACTCCAAAGGAGAAGTAGTGGCTAAGGACTCAGCTAGAAAAGTGGGTGTGATTTCCTAATGAGGCCAATATTTGTGGGAGCTCTAATTTTGCAGTAAACCGAAGATAGTTTGAAGAATTAACAATCTTCAGTGTTATCTTTTTTTTTTTTTTTAATTCATATTTACCTTAGTATTAGACAAGGTCAGGAGCAGATTGTTCAACCAATTGTAACCAAACTGGGAGGAGCAGGTACAGGTGGGTTCTTCCTTCTCCAAACTCCCATAATCCATGGCAAAGCACCTTGGAATAGTTTCAAAGACACGTGCGCGGTGTGCATTCCCAGTGGAGGTCATTTTCTCTTAGTCCAGAGGGTTCATCCAGAGGAATTCCCTAGGACTGGAGTAATCGGTCCTTTCCCCAAGTGGGGATGACTAGAGGCTGGCCAGCTCGAGAGTGGGCCTCATTCACCTTTGCTGTCTGACTTCCCCCTCACCCACCCACCCACGGGCTTTGCACTGGCTTCACACTGCCTTCGCACAGGTCAGGCTCTCTGCGCATGAGGCCAGGGACCTCCTGGATGTCTACACAACCCCCTCTCATCCTCATCCCCCGCCTCTGATCCCTACAACCATCCCATTTCCCATGCTCATCTGTTGCCCATTTCTCCTAACTGAGTGATGCTCAAGGCTGACTTTCTGAAATGGTCGAAGTCAAGGAATTGGGCTGCCTTCGTCCTCATTTGGTCCGTTTGGCCACACTTTCTTTTGTGGAGGGGACGGGGGAGAGGTTGTGTGGGAGGGGACGGCAACAACCTCACACCTAAAATCTGAGCTTGCTCCAAAGTAGAGAGGGGAGCTCTGTACTCAATAACTTGGTGAGGAGTTAAGATAACCACATCCTCCACTTCCCAAACTTCCCCCCAAACCGGTAAAGCAGGGGTCCCCAACCCCTGGGCCACGGACCAGTACTGGTCTGTGGCCTGTTAGGAACCACGTCGCACAGCAGGAAGTGAGCGGTGGGCGAGCGAGCACAGCTTCGTCTGTATTTGCAGCCGCTCCCCAGCGCCGGCATCACCGCCTCAGCTCCACCTCAGTCCATCAGCCATTGGATTCTCATAGGAGCACCGGTGCCTGGTGCCAAAAAGGTTGGGGACCGCCGCTATAAAGTATCTCCAACCAAATTTTCAGGATGCCTGAAATTCCCAGCAGGAAGCCATATCATC